AAGGCAATGGCACTGCTCACATGCCAAATGAATACATGCCTTCAATAGCATGGCTATCTTCCATTTCCTTCTCAAATTGCACAGTTTAGGAGCTATTAAGGATTTCAGCATGAACCCAAACAACTCCAAAAAAACAGCTTGCTTTTGGGCAGCTGCAAATCCAAAACATGTTGTTCAGGTTTTGCCCGTGAAAACGATGACTATCTATTTTTAAATCTGTGGTGATGGATAGGTGGTTATTTTTACTATGATTGGCATCATAGTTTTTGGTGTAACCAAATTCACAATTTCTTTTTACTGAGCAGGTTCTTACATAGAGCCCAATAGCCATTGCTGCTGGTACAAAACCCAGGTGACAAGTAGCATCAAATCCTGTCCTCAGATGACCACTGAAAACAGTGAATTAAATTTTGCTCCCAGTTGCATTAATGCAGCCTCACTGGAAGCAATGACACCGCACTGACACAGCTGGCACAGGAGAGATTCAGGCCTGGAAAGAAAAGGTCCGTTTTTCATTGCCGTCACAGATAGCTGCTTTGGACCTTTGTGACACCACAACATATCTGGAGTCACTCCGCTAACTTCAGTGGTGTTGCTCCATGTTTACACTGTGAGCTCTTTCTCCTGGAATGCTCTGCTGAGTCTCATCAGCCAGCTCCTTTCTTGAAAGTCATGGGCTGGTCTGCTCTGGGATCACAGAAAGAGCATTACCATGGTCTGTTATTGCGTGACTGTAAAGTGGACTCAGAGAGCTCTTCTCTTCCTCTTGTACCTCTTAGATGAATGATAGAGAGGAACCATGGATATGAATGCAGTTTTACTCAACCCCACATCCAATATGGCAGTGTTGAATTAAGGAAACAGATGGATTTAAAAACCTTCCTTTCCTCCTCACCTGTTCCCTCTGTGTTTCAAACAGAAGGGTGAAAAATAGGAAGATATTATTCACAGTAAGAAAGCTCAAAGAAAACAGAGAACATAGACGCTTCATTTGTGTGCAAGGTAATGGAATCCTCCCTTGAAAAGCCACCCTCCCTAGAGACATTTTCCTATGAATGGCCATGTGGTCACTTAGCTTTGGATCAGACCTCATAATTCGCTTTGGATCAGACCTCATAATCTTGTCAGGAGTTATGAGGACCTATCGAGAATGAACTATGCCCCTTCAGCACTTGCCTCTTGCGACCTCAAAAGTACTTCTTCAAGCCACATTCGTCACTGGAGCGTACCAGGGTCGCTAATGGAAGACAAGCTGAATGAAGGAAGAGCTTTCACTCCAATAAAGAGGTTGTATTTCCAAACTATTTTTCCCACTGGAAAGTTCTGTATACTTTTCCCAAGGGGGTGGAGGTCTGACTGGAAATGAATTGATGGCACTGCTTGTTTTTGCAGTACAGGAATTTAGAGTGTAATACCATATTTTACCCTTAAAGGGAGACGCTCGACCTCGATTTAGCTGTGTAATTGTATGCCACATAACGGCAGCCTCAGGGGCTTACTGGGGCATGGTAGTCACCCTATTTTGTGGTATGTCTTTGGAGATCCATGAAGCTTTTGGGGAGAAAGGAGGACAGAAAGAGACCAGGAGGATTGGACTGAATATTCAGGAAGCATGAAAATTCAGAAAGCCCCACCATTAGAGTGCATTTTTTTCCCCATTTTTTTATTTCCCCAAAGGTAGCAAAGGATAGTGTATCATCACATGATCAATAAGTTAATGAAAGGCTGAGCATAAATATGCAGTAGCTGACTGGAATGGAATCTCATTTGTGTGGGGGGAGCAGACATCGTAGCATTTCAGAATGAGTATGCCAATCATTTTTAGGTTTCCTAGTTGCTGAGATTAGCTATCAAAGAAGCTAGGGTTTGTTTTGGTACTCATGGAGCCATTGAAATCTCTGGAGACCATTTCTTTTACTTTTTGTGCATATGAGATCCTAAATGCAGTATCTAAGAAGCCTCATTAACGGCTGGGAAAATTGCCCACGGGGGTCCATCTGATGGTCTGAGCTCAGAGTCACCTGGGGCCCATAATAAGAAAGTGTGGTGGCCAGAGCTATGCATCTACACCGAAGCACAGAAATCCTCATGGGAAGGGTGCTGTTGAGTCATAGTACAAGCTGGGTTCTGAGCATCCAGCCCTGTGGGAGCTGCAGGGTCAGTTGTGTGTTCACTGATGTGCAGTTATTTATCTGCTTAGTCCCAGGTTTTTATTTCCATTTCTTATGAGGTGGCTGGCAAAACTTAACAAACCCCTCTGAGAGAAAAGTCTCTGAAGAGGAAAAGCACAGCAAGGGTCAAGGCTATTCACTGGGTGGGATCTGAATGTAGGTCAGATGATCCCCAGTAGAAGAAGATGTTGTAATGTCCTAGGAAAAAAGGGAAAGACGTGCATGCATACGTGTATGTATGAATACAGAAATGAAGCATCAAGGGGGAGAAACTAAGACATACAGGTAACTGCACAGCCTAAGAGCGAAGCAAACTACAGGAGAAACTTGCTACCACTTATCTGAAATAAATCTGCGTCTTAAAACAACAAAAAGAAGCACTAGTCTTAATCAGCTGAAAAGAGTATATAGGAAGGAGAAAAAGGGGCTGATACCCTGATATTCAGTATGAATTCTTAGCAAAAATTTCCTGCTAATTTTAAAGGGCACCAAAGTAGACTTTGCTCGTGATTTGCAAAATGAGATGAACTGCTAGTTTGGTTGATGGTTGCTTAGTATGCAAATTCGTTTCTGAAAACGCTGCAGGCTATTTGGAGCTGTGAGAGTCAGTTCTCAGACTTCATTAAAAGAGGCTTTCCCTGAAAGTAATTTTGCAAAAGGGACAGTGTCATTGGAAACTTGTACCAA